GTCAATATCAGCTCTCCACTTGTCAGGCCTGTCAGTCAACTACAGAGTTTTGCTGCAAGATGGAAGGTCACTTGTGTTATACACTGAATACGTTCCGTATGATTAGTTCTTGGCCTGTCGCACTTTCCGACGGTTTATCCTTCAGCTCCGACACACAATCATCTACAACCTTCATGATTGTAGTGCTCACAGTCAAACCCTTATTCTAAGCGGAACTTCATAAGAGCTAATTAAACAGCAATGTCCTGAAGACCCTGCCCAATATTCAGGTGACGACCCTAACCAATGGAACCAATAACAACACTAGAGTTCCGACATACATGTACATGTACATGTACAGGTACATTGTTGGCAAGGAAAGACATAGGAACCATGCACAGCGAAGCACCTTGCATCCTATCCCAGTATCCGACAAGTCAATGGGCACATGTACCTTTTAAAACAGTTCAACCTGCATACATGGACATGTACATGTGCAGGGATGAAGATAGAAATAGCATCGAACATTATCAGAAACAACTACAGTTTCATGCACAACCAAGCACAGTATGGGCATGTTCTGGCAGTGGAGAACCTACCCACGGAACCAGGCGTATACATGTAACTTGACAACTCATGTAGACCTTGGTCCATGCGTGCACAAACATGGAGAACTGGAGACGGTCGAGCAGAGCAGGTGCGGACTGAAGGTTGAGACACTAGTTGCTTCGTCCTGCCCTCCCACACACGCCCTGAGGAAAGTCATACACGAAATATGGATTAATTCTTTGTTGCCATCTTCAATAGGAAATATGGAAATATGGATTACTAGTACTAGTACAACACGTGATTTTTCACCGGGTCTGATTTGGCGATTGAAAGTCATACTATGATTTGGTCAGCTGCTCGAGCTGATCCATGAAGTTACTTTAAGGCAGTTCCATGTAGGTTGGTCGCCATGTTGCCTGCTTTGCACATGATATTGTGGCGGACCGTGTTTCGTGATTACACATCTTGGTGGGGAAATTGTCCTTAACAGGATAAAGTGGCAGTGGAAACACCCTCACACCCACAAAGAGACTGGCAGGTTCAGACGACGGAGGAGTGAACCTTCAACACCATTCTAATGATGTATAGTATGGAGCGACAATTTCCAACCAGATAATGTTGATGTTGTAAGATCTCCTACCTGCATATAATTAGATACATCCTGGGCGTGTTGGTCCAGGGAGCTGGACACAAACATTTAATTGACATGTGCACTGTATGTTGTATTCTTCGTGAACATGGATTGGATGTGAAAGTGCGCGTCAGCTGCACATTATACCACACACCATTGTGCGCTTCGTTGATGCTTCTTCATGGTCACATGCGGGATCGCCCTTAGTACAGCCCCTCCCTCTCATCTACATAGTCATGTACATGTACATTCATAATGTGCCATGTAATTAATCTTCATAGTGTTACGGCTTTACCGTTAGACGCACCTTCACATCACACCTTTAGTCTATCATCCCTTTGATTGTGTCAAGACATAATGAGAATGCAATGTACATGTACATGTATCATCATGTCTACATATGTGCAAGTACATGTACTTGGTGCTCAGCCCTAGCTGTTATTGACTTTGTGTGCATAATTGTATTAAACCTGTAATGGCCTGTATAATTCATTGGTTTGCAGCGTGACTGGGCGACTGGGTGAGGCACACTCCACTGTCTCCAGTAGCTCTGTTCACTCAATGTCATTGATGCTATAATGCCAGTTCTAATGGAGCATTCTGCAAACACAGCCATGTCGTTGCCGATACCCAGCTTCAAGCACAATACTTCAAGTACCTGGCTACTTTAAATGACGTCCCAAGATCTTCCACGTGAGACCACGTGGTGGTAGTTGCCAGTGCTGTAGCTAGCTGTACATGTAAGAGAGTGGTATTGGGGACACTTGGGAGGGGCGGCACGAGTCACCATGTGTAATTACTAATTAAACGACCAAGCGGTGCATATCGGAAGCAAGCACGTGACAAGATTTCTCAAAGCACCACTTCCGCGCAAAAGTAACTTTTCAATTGTTCGCACCTTTTCAACAGGATCTACATGTACATGTACACCCCTCTAGCTCTTTTGACACACCACACATAATACATGACATTGTACAGGTCTGCTCTCGATATAACAACTCTCACTTGTACATAAACCTCGTTAGTACATAAAAAAATCAAATCCCGCGCCGAAACAGCTTCACTCCCACGCAAAATTTGTTCTACACAACATAATCCTACATAACATAAACCTCGACATAACACACGCTACGGCGGTCCCCGACGTGCGCACTCTCGATACAACATTAATTCACGTGCATGGTATGATCAAGCGGTAGCTGTAGCTAGGCAGTTTAGGCCAGTTTAGTCCTACATAACGTAAACCTCGGCATAACGCACCATACGCGCAGTCCCCGACGTGTACACTCTCGATACAACGTAGATTCACGTGCGCGGTACAATCAAGCTGTAGCCGTAGCTAGCCAGTTTAGTCCTATTGTGCATATTTTCTGCAGCATTGATGGTATCTGATGTCGATGGTGACCGGTGGTACAGTGTGTATATGTTTGCACGGTTGAACCCGCCTTGTAATACCCTTCATTTTGAGGTGCATCTTGTATTTCACACACGGTTTTCTACACAACATAACTCTCGATATAACATAATGTTTGCGTGGTCCCAGAGATTACGTTATATGGAGAGTAGACCTGTATTGAGTACACCGTATCCGCACATGCATGTACATGTACATGTACATGTACGCCGAGACCAAGACACACACAATGCACTATGAGTCTGAGTCCATGACTCCAGTATGAGTCTGACTGTGTAGTACATTCTGTAGTGTACACTGACAGCTCCCTGGACTGAAGCTTACTAGGAGTAGTCCTGCTTGGCTCTTTCTTCGCCACACCAAGACTGCAAGAGTCTAAACTTTAAAGGCATAGTAAAATAATGATGTAAGGCAACGTACATGTACATGTATATGGACAGTAGATGCTCATAAACTCCGAGCGGAAATCCCACCAGTATTGCACATTGTCGCGTTGCATTCGAGCCCAGCTGTTCATGTCTCAAAAGAATCCTTCCCGGAACTGCAGTGAACCTTCATCGGTAGAAACTGTTAATCATGTTCGGCTATGTTGTGCAGCTGTGGAACTGAAGGCCAACGTGCGTTACATGTATGTGCAATGTAGGACTATGGTAAGATGAATCAGGTGTTCCAAGTCGAAAAGGCTTACAATGCTGTACATGTATAAGTATATTGAACATGTACAAGCTATCCTATAACCCCAGGGTACCTTTCCAGCAGTTGTCTGAGAATTGGCGGATTGCCATGAAACTCCACGTTATACTTGTACATGTAGCTGAAATTCATTCAGCCTCGTTCCATTGCTAACTTGTGTACATGTACATCGAAACATATACTGGCACACATGCCGGTACATGAAATATCAACATGGAATTGGCGCCATCAGCATACAATCCGCCATCGATGCCACGAAAAGCGGGCGAGCTAGTGCCTGGAAGCTGAAAGTCACACAGAGTCAAGCGCACAAGGACAATGATAGTATGTGGCGATATGTACAATAAGTCATATACATGTACAGTCATGTATATCAATACGATGATCTACGACTCACTACCAGATGTTTCATGTACATGATTGTACATTTCGTGTGGGACCATATCAGTCAATCAAAGCCTCAATGGTTATTATGTACAGAAGCGTGTACGCAGCAAATTCCTGCACTTTCTTCATTAGTTCTAGGCTGCCCAGTATTCTGGGCAGCCTAGTCAATCTCAGCCAATCTCTTACCACGCTGTTTATAGATACATGTACATGTGGATGGACAATCACAGCCATTGTTCAATGCCCGCATTGACGTGTTCGTCTCTAGCAGTCGTTGTGGTTGTATAAGCTGTGATCGTCTTCACAAAGCTTTTCATTGCGATTGGTCAAAGCGGTGCGGAATTCTGTTGTTCATAGATTTGTTGTGCCGTTTACAAGGTCATGCGGGGGCATAAACGGTATGTAAACTTCTCCACGCCATGTTCAGCCTCTATTGTAGTGATAGGCACGATCACAGCCACAGGCAGGGCCTGAATGGCGTGTTGTGTAAGTAAGTTTGCACAAATCACTGTCTTTCTGTGCATTGTGAAATGAATCCCTGTTACTAACATACAAGTAACATAGCTACATGGATGCTCGGAGCGATTTTCAGAAGAATGTGTGATGAACAAAATAATAAAGATGCATGACTTCATAAACCTGAAATGAGTGTGTATATAGAAATACCTGTACGTGTGCATCGGAACTGCGCCAAAGCCAAAGGGCATATCACCAGATTCAATGTACATGTAACGACTTTGTGCTCCATCTGTTTAGCACACTACACAACAACACAGAGCAGCGTAGCCAGTAGCTGACAATGTCGACGCACAACCTAACAAACTTTAAAACAAAGTTCGTATTCACGCATCTTGCCTTTTCCATCGCGACCCTCCGAAACTTTGCGGATTCCAGGAATCCATACTGTGGTGCTCTCTAAACTGACAATGTCATCTGTTATGTCGAGTCAAAGCATGACAATAGACATCGCCAGGTGGGGTGAGACACAACCAGCCGGTACGCATATCAGCAACTCCACTCCAGGACAATAGACGCATAGCAACTGTCATACAGCATAAATTGTTGCTTCATGAAATCCGACCGGCGGAGTGAATGCCACGCTGAGCGCCGTTCAGCCCTAGACCTGCGAACGCTAGTGGGATGGTAAACTGGTGAGGACTTGATTCACATGATTGGATTTCATTGAGAAGCACTGTACAATGAACATGTACATGTACATGTACAATGTATCTACTTATGGTCAAGCTCACAAACTACATGCAAGAACATGACCAAGGAATGCTTCATGGACCCATGCAGAACCGACGGACACAGATATCATTTCAGCTCCAGTGCAATCACGTACACAATTTAGTCGTTTTCACTTGTATTATTCTTAGTATGAATTGAAGATAAAATGTTGGAATGTAAACGATAAAATATAAATCAGTGAAATATACCTCATCCTTCTACCAATTTGAGGCGTAAGATTTTCTAATAGATATCATCGGAATAAAGGTCTTCATTGTCCATGTAGATGTAATATAAATATAGTATCAGAAAAGGACATTAGGTCCATGATGATTGTTGAAATAAATATTGCACATATCTTCCCTTTAGTATGATAGTTGTTCTCTAGTGTATTTGTCTATGCAATAATAATGATATTCACGACAATATTCGAGGACAATGCACAGAACAAAACAATAATATTTCTCTTTCAGTTCTCATACAAACTGATGCAGGCCATCCTCCTTGTCATCTTCGTACAACCTGCATACATCGTCAACTGGTTGTGAGCCACGCGATGGTCTCACCGCAATCAGATTCAGTGATGCTCTCTTCTGCAGCAAAGGAGATGCGTGGACAATGCGACCGTCAACGAACTTTCCCAGGCCGTCCGAAGAGACGACGAGGATACGCTGCGTCCTCTGCTGTACAAAATGAAATGAGTTTTCCATTCCCGGAACGGACGATGCTTGCAGTGTGAAGACGTTGTTGACGTGCTTTGCGCGTCGCAGAGTCATGTTCCCGCAGCGGCTGCTCAGGAAGCGGTTCGGGTGCAGGGCGCTCTCGAAGTAATGCTTGAAGCCCTCCACACCACCTTGCGATGCACACTCCGTGGAGATTCCCTTGTACTCGAACAAAGCTGCAAGAGCCAAGACAACACGAACGAGAAACACAAGTCATGATGAATACAAGGTGCAGGGAGGTAGAAGGCAATTTTAATCTACAATCGTGTACATGTGGGTCATGTGCAGAATAATCTTGGAAGTTTTAAACTTCTATAGGACTTGATTGAACTACTTCAGCACCACAACCCTATCAACGATATCAAGACAGTGGCAAGCAACGGACATGTAGCACGACCACTGTACGCCTTATAGGCGCTAGGAAAGGCAGACTAGACTCACCATGTTTGGTACAGTTTGCAGCCGAGAACAGTGGCTGGGTGCCGTTCTCAGGAATCTGCAAGTACATCTGGAACGCTGGCGAGAATATCAGCCAAAAGAAGCCGGCAAAGAATGCGTCCATGATGACAGACGGCAGAGCAATTTGAGCAAATGAAATTACGAAGCTGTTCCTTCTTCTGAAAGGCTCAAATAGTGTTCTGTCTATCATTTCGATCCTCGACGTGGTTTTATAGCGTTCCGCGAGCTACATGTAGCTGCAGCCAATTTTGTTTACTCGTTTATGGTCTTGACATACATACCTATACGCCCCTGCTAGCTACCACCGCTTCGTATTCCTGTACATGTTGAGTACGGGCACGTATGTATCGGTATTCCCCGCACCAGTTCGACCACTACCTTGTCAAACACACGCACAACGCCACATCCTCGTAGGGTAATGACATCACGTCATATCTCGGCTAACAGCCCAATGATATTGCACAGTGCTAGTGCAGCCGGGCAGCGACTTGCCCCAGAAGGACGGTTAGTGACGTCGGATATGTACAGCAGCGCAAATGCACAACGGACAATGGGAATGTATTGACGTGAAGGTGTGGGCCAAGCGACCTAGCGTTACCTCGGTGTCCAGCACGGAAAGTCCGCATCGCATTGTCCGCGCCACGATGAATCCCATTGCTTGGGCTAAGTGAAACGATCCACTTATGAATCATCGTATAGCCAACTACCAAAGCAAATCAGATACTTCAAACATCCATCCCATGTACGGTTAAGTCCAGCCTGACAACAGGTACTACAAGTGTAGTTCTACGCAGCAAGTGTCGCTCTCCGCGACCCCGTCTTGGAGCAGTGCAGCAGAGCTGCTGTGTGCGTTAGAAGCAAGACGGACATTGCGACCCCGTTCCGGTGCATAACAGTGTGCTCTGCAACAGTTTGGCGCTGCGACTCTGAGTGCGAGTAATGCGAGTAATTTATCACCGGCGCATAGTCTACACGTCTCGGCAAACCCTGCCCAGAACACCAGCAAAGCGCTCCCGACCACCTATACATGGTATGATTCAGCGGATTTCGCACAAACCAAGAAGACACCCAACGGCCAGCGACAGCGGTAGAGAATGTTATCTCAACTGCATTTCATTTAACGTGTTGCCTGGCATTCGCAATGAACGATATCAACAATGTGATAATTCTGAGTGAAGTCCGAAAATGGGCACTTCGAGACCAAATCATGTCATTTCTTAGAATCGAGTATGAAGGTGGAGGAGGGTTGAACAGAGGGAACCCGATGACCAGTGCTCAATCCTAAACACGAAAGGCTTATGCAGGATAATGTTGATCACAGGGTTTGTGTATGTTTGCATGTCCAGGAGTGCTCTGCACTGTTGTCAGTGTTGATCCGTGGGCAAAGAATTGCTAAGTCACAGCTTTACCATTCCAGCGCGGCAATAGCACATGTTTGTGTGTCCACTGAGCTGCTGAACCTTGACAGGGACCCAGGCGTTTGGCCAAGGTCGCTCATGGCAATCCTGTTATCCTGAGTAGATTGACAGCTAACCAGGTCGTCACCTGACAAGACCAACAGTCATCTGCCTGGCACGATTGAAAGGTGTGCACATTCATCAAGAAGATAACGTACAAAAGTATTTTCTTCGAATGCTTTGAATTCTAATATCTGTACGGTGTGAATTTCTGGTGAAATCTTGAGAGTAATGGAGAGCATAGAACCTATATTGTACACTTTACACTGTACATACATGTACATGTACAGGACTGTTGTACCTGATTGTAGTTGTGTGGAATGTGTGCTCTTGCTTCCATCACTTCACTGGTACTAATGCGAAGTCATGTACATACAGCTAGACTCCCAACTTGCCCGTATCGTGAAGATCCTAGTAATAATATTATTATTCTTTGTGTCAGCCAGTAGACCATGCATGCAGATGCTTATGTCATGTCCATATCCGCATGGTAACGCCCAAGTTAGTAGCGATATCCCTCATGCGTGCACGCATGCCGTGAACCTACTGAGTCAGACACAAGCCTGGACCGGTCGATAGCCTTGGAAACATAGGCGGGGAACATAGATCCAGTAATAATGTTCTCATGAAGCCGAGTAGCCATCTTCTCATTGCCTGGTCAGTGCTGTGACATATGGACAGCCCAGCGACTGCGTCTTCCTGTTCCCTTTGTGACACGTCCCAGCTACATGAATGAGCAAATCCTTGCAAATACAATCATTGTTATAGTTCTGCCCAATAACACTCAGCGACAACTACGTTGTGTTGTAGTGTAAGTTCTCATTTCCTACGCTACTTGATATCGTGACAACCCAGGGCTTCCTTGCAGAGAAGTGTGTCTCCATGGGTACCAATATCCTTGGCCCTCTGCTTAACTTAAACGCCTCGGTGACTTGTTGTGTTATTGCCGACCAGGCGTCTTGTCTATATCCATTCAGCTGCAGTCTAGGAATAGTGTTTGTTCCAGATACAAGTAAATGTAAATACCAGTCGCGTTTGTATTATGTTCGAAGTCTCTATCTTAGTCAGACAGTACTTTACTGCAAATCCATGGGTGGCGGGGGAACAAACGAAGTGAATAAGTTAAAGCAAGTAGAAGCAGTATTTGAGAAATATCCGGGGATGTGAACTACATCAGTACATGTATGCCATGCTTAAACTGAACAGA